GATTTCAAGACCAGCCTAGCCAACATGATGAAACCCCATCTCTACTAAAAATACAAAGATTAGCCAGGATGCTGCTGCATCCCCTCACCTTCCAGGTAGGCTTGTGCAGGAGACATGGCCTTGAAAATGCGGTGGACGGCTCTGGGTTCAATCAAGTGGACTCTCTCATCAGCTGTGCTGTCCCACTATGACCTCCCTACTGGACGGAACCTGCCACAATCTTTGGCATACTGTAGAGCCACCGATAGGATGAAAACTCCGTCTGTGTGTGTGCCTGTGTGTGCACCTGCGTGTACACCTGTGTGTCTGTGTATGTGCCTGTGTGTCCCAAGTGTGTATGCCTGTGTCTGTGTGTACCTGTGTGTGCGTGTGTGTGCCTGTGTGTGAACCTATGCCTCTGTGTGACAATGTGTGTGCCTGTGTGTGTGTCTCTGTGTGTGCCTGCATATGCCTGTGTGTGTCTCTGTGTGCCTGTGAATGCCTGTGTGTGTGCCTATGTGTGCTTGTGTGTGCTTGTGTGTGTGCGTGTGTGTGTGTCTGTGTGTGCTTGTGTATGCCTGTGTATGTGTGCCTGTTTGTGTGCCTGGGTGTGTGTCTGTGTGTATGCCTGTATGTGTGCCTGTTTGTGTGCCTGTGTCTGTGTCTGTGTATATGTCTGTGTGTGTGCATGTTTGTGTGCCTGTGTGTCTGCGTGTATGCCTGTGTGTGTGTGCCTGTGTGTTGCTGTGTGTGCATCTGTGTGTGTGCCTGTGTGAGTGCCTATGTGTGCTTGTGTATGCCTGTGTCTGTATGTGAACCTATGCCTGTGTGTGCCGCTGTCTGTGCCTGTGTGTGTATGCCTGTGTGTGTGCCTGTTTGTGTGCCTGTGTGTGTCCGTGTGTATACCTGTGTGTGTGCCTGTGTGTGTCTGTGTGTGAACCTATGCCTGTGTGTGCCAATGTGTGTGCCTGTGTGTGTATATGCCTGTGTGCGTCCCTTTTTGTGTGCCTGTGTGTGTGTATGCCTGGGTGTGTGCCTGTTTGTGTGCCTGTGTGTGTGTTTGTGTGTATGCCTGTGTGTGTGCCTGTGTGTGGCTGTGTGCATCTGTGTGTGTGCCTGTGTGAGTGCCCATGTGTGCCTGTGTATGCCTGTGTGTCTGTGTGTGAACCTATGCCTGTGTGTGCTGACGTGTGTGCCTGTGTGTGTGTATGCCTGTGTGTGTGCCTCTTTGTGTGCCTGTGTGTGTATGCCTGTGTGTGTGCCTGTTTGTGTGCCTGAGTGTGTCTGTGTGTATGCTGTGTGTGTATCTATGTGTTTACACCTCTGTGTGTGCCTGTGTGTGGCTGTGTGTGCATCTGTGTGCTTGTGTGAGTGCCTATGTGTGCCTGTGTATGCCTGTGTGTGTGCCTATGTGTGAACCTATGCCTGTGTGCTGATGTGTTTGCCTATCTGTCTGTGTGTGTACCTGTGCATGCACCTATGCCTGTGTGTGCCAATGTGTGTGCCTGTCTGTGTGTGTGCCTGTGCATGCCTGCATGTGTGTCTGTGTGTGCATGCCTGTGCATGCCTGTGTGTGTGCCTGTGTGTGCCTGTGTGTGTGTCTCTGTGTGTGCATGCCTGTGCATGCCTGTGTGTGTGCCTGTGTGCCTGTGTGTGCCTGTGTGTGTGTCTCTGTGTGTGTGCCTGTGCATGCCTGTGTGTGTGCCTGCTTGTGTGCCTGCATGTGTGTCTGTGTGTGCGTGCCTGTGCATGCCTGTGTGTGTGCCTGTGTCCCTGTGTGTGTGTCTGTTCATGTTGTGCCTGTGTATGGCTGCGTGTGTGTCTGTGTGTGTGTGCCGGTGTGTTGTGTCTATGTGTGTGCCTGTGGATGTGCCTGTGTGCGTGCCTATGCGTGTGTTTTTTCTGCTGCAGTGCTCAGGGATCTGCGGAAGTGGGTTCCCTTCCCTGCCATGGGGCACAGCATCCCACCTTCACTGCCTTGTCTTGGCTCACTGATTCTGTGCCATGATTTAGCCAACCGAGACCTTGACCTTTCTCTTCCTAGGACCTCATGTGGGTCTTCTGCACACTGATAGGTTTTGGACGAAAGCAAGTAGCAAAGCCCCCTAAGTGTTAGGACATACGGGTACCAGAGTGTAGGACATACATTCTACGAAAATACAGGGACCTGCCACTTCAGTGACGGCTCCAGGCAGGCAGCAGGGGTGTACAGCTGTCTGGAACATTTTGGGATACCCCCTAGAAAGCAAAAGCATGCTTGGCCCACCCACGATGCTGGGTGAGCCCCTGGAGTTTTGAGACAACATATTTTCCTCTTGGGTGTGCCGTTCCTCCAACTCATTTGCTGGGTGACCCCCAAGGTGGTGCACCTGTGTGGGCCTCTGGCAGGTGCAGGCTCTCCATCTGGTCTGCCTGCACGGGGAGGGACTCTGCCACATGGCTGTCATGCCTTATGGATCCCACAGTGCCCAACATGCCCGAGCAGATCTGGGTGCTATGCAGAGTCTGCACCAAGTGCTACCAGAAGTCACACCTGGGGCTTTGGGGTCCTCGTCCTGGGCTTGGTGGAGACTAGCTGCATTTCAGCTAACAGAGTCTAACTGGGAGACCCGGACGATCTGAGGTTCCCAGAATGAAGTGGCATTTTCTGGCCCTGTCCAGCACCCACCATCAGGGGGTCCCGCAGGACCAAGCCCAGGGAACACCAGGAGGCACCAGGTGGTGACTCAAGCAAGTAGCTCCCTCGCCTGCCCCACAACCTGGTTCATCACGGGGTATTCCTTAAGACCAGGGCCTGAGAGAAACAAGTACAAACTACATTGCCAGTGGCTTGGCAAGACACGCTCACACAACCAGAAGTGACTGCTGTGGCAGTCAGGGCCCCTCCCATGTGGACAGCAGAAAGGAGACCCTCTGAGGGGCACAGGTGATGCTCCCTGCGGTGTGTACAGAGAAGCCTCAGGTGTCTCAGGACCTACAGGGACCTGATGCAGACAGAGGGCAGGAGGTATGGAAAGGCCTCTCTGAATAGATGGGGAACTGGAGGACAGTGTGTCTCAGGAATACTTCCACAAAGGCTCTCATCCCAGGATCCTCCCATGCAGCAGCAGGCAAGGTGGCTGCCCAGAGATGTCCAGCGGCCTCTGCTCCTGGAGCTCCTGGGCCACCCCCCAGGGGCTCAGATTCTGCCCCGCCACCTTCCCCTCACCTGGACAACTGCTTGCCACCTTTGCTGTAGGTGCAGCACAACCAAAGTCCAGGGCTTATAAACACACTCAGGCAGGCCGGCCTGCCTTCTTCCCTCCCTCCCTTCCTTCCTTCCTTCCCAAAGTCCAGGGCTTATAAACACACTCAGACCTTCTTTCCTTCCTTCCTTCCTTCCTTCCTTCCTTCCTTCCTTCCTTCCTTCCAAGTCCAGGGCTCACCACTTCATAAACACACGTTTTCCTTCCCTTCCTCCCTACCTTCCTCTCTTCCTTCCTTTTTTTTTTTTTTTTTTTTTTTTTTCTGGACAGAGTATGGGTCTGTTGCCCAGGCTGGAGTGCAGTGGTGCAATCTCCGCTAACTGCAACCTCCATCTCCTGGGTTCAAGTGATTCTCCTGCCTCACAGTAGTACTCCTACTCCTGAGTAGCTGGGATTACAGGCGCTCACAGCCACACCTGGCTAATTTTTGTATTTTTAGTAGAGACCAGGCACTCACCACCACACCTGGCTAATCTTTGTATTTTTAGTAGAGACGGGGTTTCATCATGTTGGCTAGGCTGGTCTTGAAATCCTGACTTCAGGCAACCCGCCTGCCTCCATCTCCCAAAGTGCTATTACAGGCGTCAGCCCACACTCAAACGTTTTCTAATAAGACCTTCACACTAATCCGGAAAGGTGTGGAAGGTGTGGAATCATCACCCACGTTTTCCAAAACAAAGACCCAGGTGGTTGTGTGATTGTCCCAAAATTGTACACCTCCTCAATGGCAGAGTCAGCATTTGAAGGGGGTCTGAGGTCTTCCATGACATCCTTCTGGCTGTCCCGCCCTCTCCACTCTGAATGCCTGTATCACTTCACTACTGCTGGGGGTGGGAGCTGATGCCTGGCCAGCGGAGAGGTTGAGGGAGGGTAGGGCTCCTGCAGGTTTGCCCTGGGTCACCTGGCTTCCTGCGCCTTTCACCAGAGCACTCAGGACCACAGAACTCCAACCCCTCCCTCCCGTCTTCACCTCTGGAAGAAGGTGGCTGCCCAGCCAATTAGGGCACCCTCCCGCCTCTCCCGCCCCGACAGCCCCACACAGGTCTGCCTCCCCCGGGACCTGCCTTTGAGAGCTGGCGGCTCTTCCCCGCCTCCCGCAGTCAGAGCCCAGCACCACCCGGCATCGCACTCGCCCTCCCACTGGCTCACCTGGGCGGGTGGGGCTTGGTAACTTGTGGCCGGCCACCCCTGACCGTACCTCGGAGCCCCTGCACACCTTGGGGTCCCTGTGGGGGTAGCGAGGTGGAGGCGTCACAACGGTGTGGGTCCCCGATGGTGAGCGGACCCGGAAATCAGGCCAGAGAGGGGACACCCTGTGCAGGAGCGCAACAGCTTGGGCCCCGGCCCCGGCCCCAGCTCCAGCCGCTTGCTGCTGCGCCCTCGCGTACCCTCAGCCCAGGAAATAACACAACAGCAACCATTTCTCCCACACCCCCCGGGCCGGCACCAGCCGTCCTTCCCGAAACGGGCGGTACTGCGCCAAGCGGCAGCGGCTCCGAGTGCCCCGCGTGCCCAGGCCGGCTCAGGGGCTAGCCCGGGGGTCGCCGTCCCGACCGCCCCCAAAGGAGCCTCCTCCTTCCCAGCGCTCAAGTCACCCTCACTTCCCAGGACGCCACCTCCGGTCTGCACGTCGGAAAGTGGGGAGCGACGAGGGTGTCCCCATCCACCCGGTGCCGAGGGGACGGCCCCGGGCGCCCCGGCCAGCGCAGGCTGTGCTCCGCCCCACTCGTGCAGGGCGCCGCGAGCTCGACCCCGAGCCCGGACGCCGGCTCTTACCTTGAAGAAGCTCCGGAGGAAGTGCACGACGCTGAGCATGGTGGCCGCCAGGGCGCCCGGAGCCCGCCAGCAGCGTGACGAGCCGGGCAGCCGAGCCGGCTCCACCGACGCCACCCCCGTCCCGCCCTGGGGTCCGCCCCGGTGCCCGCCCCGCACCGCCGGGACGCTCCGCCTCCTCAAACCTGGCCGCCTGAGGGTCACCGAGCGCTAGTCCAGGCTCCTGCCCCTCCCGCCCCCGGGCTTTGGTCACCCGCGGGAATGGGTACGCACGGACACGCCGCCTCCGGTCCCCCCGGGATCATCCCGGCCGCCGCGCTCCTGGTACCCCGGGAGCCTAGGAGTGTTTTCTCAGAGGGAGCAGCAGGCGCCGCGCGCTTGTGTACATCCCGAGCGCAGCGCGGGTCCCCTAGGTCTGTCTTCCGCACGGAGACTCAGGTGCCTCTGTCCTCCTGGGGGCGGGGGCGGCCTCTCTTTCTGCTGAGATCTCTGCTTACCAAGCTCCGAAAACTTTCAGAGCTCAGTCCGCCCAGCGTTCTCGTTTACCAGTTGAGGAAACGGAGGTCCAGCGAGCTCAGCAGTGCGCCGGCACTCACACATCTGGTGCGGACAAGCGTGGACTAGGATATCTGGGACCTAAGGCTTGGCCTCCGCTCCCTCTTGCCTCCCACCTCCCTTTCCAGGCACGTCCTGCAGATAGGATGCAAGTGAACCTTCACACCCACACCAGGGCAGAGGGAAGTCCTCTCTGCTTTCTTTGCGGAGATTTAAGGACGCAGGGCCTGCCCAAAAAACACTCTAACCAGCCCTAGGACTGCCCTATTTTAAAATCAGAAGAGAAAAACTGAGTGTAATAAAATAGTAATGAATCTAGCCTGGAATATATTCATCTTTATACAAATGCAGTTCGTATACTCTGATTTAAAATATTTTATTTTATGCAGGAAGAGGCCCACGAAGGCTAAGTGCCCAGGGTCCATGTGCACCATACTGCAGCCCTGCTCTGTCCACCATTTCTGGGATCTGGGTCCCACAGAGGGGGAACATCTACCCAGACTGGCTTTTTGCACCCCAACTCAAGCCTGCACCCTTGCCCAAGTCCTGGCCCCACTGAATGCTGCGCCTGGTCAGCAGCGCATGTCCAGGGGTGCCTGGTAGAGTGTGTACTTTCCCTACACCCAGCCTGTCTCTGCCTCTCCCCAGGCCCTCAGAGCAGCCAGGCCAGGGCCAGAAGTGTGGTAGACAGATGCATGGACGAGGCAGTGTGAGGCCATCTGAAGATCCTGCGTCCCCTGTCCCACCCTTTATGTCACCCAGGGTCTGTGACTGTGCTAGAAGCATGTCCCTGAGGCCCATGGTGGCGGAGGAGGGCGTGGGATTCAGATCTGGACGCCTGGCTGTGCTGCACATCCATTGTGTAATCATGGTCCTCTGCTCCAACACGTATCTTCTTTAACATTTGAGAGGAATGACCGCCTGGTGGGGTTGCCATGGAGAGTACCTGAGAAATTAAACCTCACAGGTGCTCAGCAAAAGTTAATTCCCTCTTCTTTGACGGCTTAAAGCACTAATCCCCTGGGGGGGTCCAGTGACAATACACAAGCCCTGTCCCCAGAGGGGTCCAGTGACAATACACAAGCCCTGTCCCCTGGGGGGTCCAGCGACAATGCACAAGCCCAGGCCACAGGCTCCATTGTTATCTGGACTTCTCTGTCTGACCAGTGGGCAGCCCTGGGCCTGGGTTCTCAGACCTGAGTCGGGCAAGAGCTTAGGTTGCTGCCCACCCCCCAACCCCCCGTCCCCCCCACAGGATCTGGGGTGGGGCCTGATAATTTGCATTTTAACACGTTTCCAAGTGACCCTGAAGCTGCTGGCCCTGGGACCACACTTAGGGAAGCCCTGGTTCAGGCTCTGGGGCCTGGACCAGCCTCCCCATCTGGCAGAGAATCAGACCCCAGTTCAGAGCATCATCGTCACAACGGCTCCCTTCACCAGGCACCTGCTACGTCCCCACATGCCCAGATCCTGCCTCAGCGCAACCTCCCAGGAGAAATGACATCCAGTGCTTGAAGGGAAATCAGTCAAAGGTAGCTTATGTCTGTCTCTTCCTCCTGGAAGACACGGTTTTAGGAGGACAGCTGACTGCACTGCGGTGTGCTCTTGTTTGCCATTATTAAAAATAAGAAAGGCAGGCCTGTTGGATTCGCTGAGGGATTTGCACAAAGGGTTTCTAATCAGCGGAGCTTGCCATGTTTAAATATGACCCCGATATCATGCGTGTCACATACTGCAATTAAACAGGCTCAGCAGCGTGGGGCGTGAAGTGAATGGTAGGAGAGAAAACATCACAGCAGATGCCAAGCGGCTGGGAGAACGTGGGCGCCGGGCGGACCCAGGGAGCTCACGGGGGCCTGTGCTTTCCTCACTGGGCGGCCTGGGCCATTCTCTTTACTTCTCCGACCCAGAGACCACAGGCTCACATATAGATGGGCCTACACTACCAGGTGAGGCCCAAGTCACAGAGGACAGAAACCCCCTGGCTACTCTAGCAGGAAGGGATTTTTGCAAGAATATGGAGTAAGACATAGGCAGGTGGAGGTGTGCTGACCCGGAAGCAGGCAGCCAGCCAGCCACAGCGGCAGCCAGAGCCCACCAGACAGACCGCACACTAGGGAGCCTGGGGCTGGTGCCTCTCCCCGAAGCTTTGCTCCTAGACTCTGGCCTCCTGTAGCCTCTGCCAACGATCACTGGGTCCCTGGTCTTTGACCAGCCCGAGAGGTAAAGTCCAGGACCACCCACGTTCCCTTGTCTGACTGCTGGGGGAGCCAAGGTGAGGAGAGCATGAGCCTTCAGCTAGCATGGTGGGAAGCCAGCCTCCTTGTATGGCTGTCACAGATGAGGGGCAGAGATCAGAGACAGGTTGGAAACAGAATATTAGAAGAGTTCCTCAGGTCAGAAAGTGGGGCTGACCCCCATGGTGGCATTCTCTGGGGTGAACATGTAGTGCCGAGTTCAGACCAAGTGATCCCTGACCCGAGGGCAGGGCCTACAGAGAGCCAGCTCAGATAGTCAGGGAGGGGTAGTGCTGGGCGGTCAGCCATAAACAGACATGGGGACACTGGTGTTCCCTCTAGTTTGGGCCCGGGAGGAGGCAATGCCCAGGAGAGGCTTCACTGCCTCATGCCCAACTCTTCGAGCTACACTTTCTCTGCCTGCCTGCGTTTTTTCTTCCTTCCTTTCCTCCCTTCCTTTCCCTTCTCTTTCTTTCTTTCTTTCTTTCTTTCTTTCTTTCTTTCTTTCTTTCTTTCTTTCTTTCATCTCTCTCTCTCTCTCTCTCTCTCTCCTTTCTCTCTTTCTTTCTTCTCCATAACCCAGGCTGGAATGCAATGGCGCAATCTCAGTTCACTGCAACCTCCACTTTCCAGGTTCAAGCGATTATCCTCCCTCAGCCTCCTGAGTAGCTGGAATTACAGGCATCCGCCACCATACCCAGCTAATTTTTTTTGTATTTTTAGCAGAGACTGAGTTTCACCATGTTGGCCAGGCTGGTTATGAACTCCTGACCTCAAGCGATCCGCCCAAAGTGCTAGGATGACAGGTGTGAGCCACCATGCATTTTGAGTTACATTTTCATGGGGACTTGGGACAATCGGAAATGCATCTATGGGCTCTTGCAGACTGACTGGTGATCCTGAAATGATGGCATGTGGGAGAGGCATGGACTTCCTCCAAGGACTACCAGAGCCAGGTCGGGGCACCTTGTGCTGTGACATAAGGAAGCTCCCCTACGAGGACAGAGAGAACAGCTGCAGAAGAGGCAGAGCCCGGCAGGGGCCACAGGCCTGTGAAGGTATCAGCAGAGCCCACAGGAGACTCGAACTTGCTGCCAGCAGAGCCTGAGGCTCTGCAGTTCCAGAACTGGTTGTGCCCATTGCCTCACTGCCTGCCAGAGCTGCCTCCAAAAGGACCAGAGGATCAGAGTAGCCCCATTGCAGATTAGGCATGAGCGCCACACAGTCTCCATCTGCTGCCTTCTTTCCATCTTTCCATCTTACTGCCTGTGTGACCCAGCATCCAGGCTGCCTGGGGCCAAGGGAGACCTGGAGGGCCATTGAAAACACCACCTGGCAGTGGATGGGCATTTCCTTGGCACAGAAATTCACATGAAACAGACAGGGGGCAGGAAGTGAGCAGAGTTACCTATATTACTCTTCCCACCTGAGGAAATTGGGGTTCAGATGGGTAATGCACCTTGTGTCTTGGCCCCAGGGGCAAAGCAGGAGGGGCTCAGCCTTCAGGAAGACCAGCACAGCTGGGTCAAGGACAGGCATGCCTAGAGTATAGAGTGAGGTCAGGACCTGGGGTGGCCGAGCAGTGGGGGGTGATCCCCGAGGCCCAAGGTCTCTGAGATGCTGCAGAGAGGGGCCTTGAAAGGAGCCAGGATTTGAGGAGGAGAAGGGAGGAGAAGGGAAAGGAGGGCTCTTGTGCAGACCTGGGGCATGGAGAGGGGATGTCCGCTGAGCCCCCTGCCCTCGCCCGCAGATCCTGGCCAAGTGCCACCTTGGAGGCAGCAGAGTGAGGAACAGTCTAATGGGGAGCCCATGAGGGTGATGCCTTCAGGGAGCTCTGCTGTATATCGATTACATCTCACCCTCAGTCATGCCTCTGGGGCCTGGAGCTGCTGGGACACATTGACTGGAAGGGGCTTGGGGGCACAGGGAGTGAGGACCAGATAAGGGCAGGGCAGCCCAGGCACTGGCAGAGCTGGCCTCAGAAACTATCGGTCCCACTGAGATTCAAGTACCCCTGCCGCTTCCCCAAACCACAGCCTGAGTGAAGACAGAGGCAGGGTTCAAGCCTGGAGCCCAGGCACTGCCCTCGTTCCCTGACGGTGGAGTGCATTCCCAGCAGGGTGACCTGGAAGTGGCCCCCTGGGCACACCGGCTGACCTCCTTCTTCCTGTTCTGAGAAGCCAGTCCTACCCCACTCAACCTGAACACAAGGGAGGCAGGGGAAGGGGCAGGAAGGTCCTCCTATGACTAGAACCACCCCTAGGGCCCATGCTGAGGCAAGGAGCCCTCCTCATTGTGCCCC